CAGTCAGTGGAGTTAATTATAAAGTCCACATAGAAATTAAGAGTAAACTGATGTATCAACAGCAGTAAACCTAGGCAATAAAGCATCTTCCATCAAAATATAAAATTAGGTACTTTAATGGTAAACTTGTTGGAAAACAGTCACAACTGGAAGACAAATTACAGAACATCGTTCATATTCATTAATCAGCTGCAAAGAAGTAAGAGGTAGTAGAATGAGTTACTGGCCAAGAACTGGGACATTTACCTCATGAAGCCACCTTYGTAAAACACCCTGATGTGTATTTAAAGCTTTATCATAGAAGGAGTAAATACTTGTTTCCAGAGGCTCTCTTAAAAATGCTCGATATATTTGTACTATTGAATGCACAGTATCTGTGCATTTTTACTTTGAATTATTTTTCATGTATCAAATTGAAATCCTTAATGACCTGTTCAACAACAAAAACCCAAAAAGTTTCCTGTTTAATGTGCCAGCAATTCCTTGCCTGAAGACGAAACTGCATTTCAAACATCTTTTCTGTTGTTAGCAAGTGCTCTTATAAAGTTAATTTTCAACAGTGAAGGGAGGAAAAACTTGTCTAATAAAATCAGTTCATATTTCTGTGCTGCAGTACAAAARGTCAATTAAAATAAAACACAGGTACTTGCCTAAACAAGGGAAAGTACTTCTTTATGAAACTCCATTTGGTATCAATCTGCTTTATTGCTGACTGSTTTTATCTGATTGTTTTAGATTTTGTTGTAACTTAACATTGCACAACTATTTCACCTTTCATGTTTTGCAGATGGCATGCAGCTCTGGCAACTGCAAGGGCATAGACAAATGAATGCATTTTTGAGCTTAACACATAATTAAGTGAGAAACATCAGTGCCATCCTAATTTCACATCTATTGGACAGAATGCTTGCATTGGAAGTCATGAAGTATTTGATGTTGCTGATGCCATTAAATTGGTATGGTGCGGTTGGATTCTTAATTTTCATGGTGCAGAACTATTCTAAGGTTTGTGGTTGTTACATTCAAGTAAGAGTTATCTTCAATGAAATGTCCTGGTTAGTGCCTACCAGATAAATCAGTAGCAGCTGTAAGTAATACAGAGATGCACAGATGGTAGCAACAAGCAATGACTGCACTGCACTACACCAGCACCGGCTTACCTCAGTATCTTGTACAATAATTTGCTCTTCATGTCCACAATACTGACYTCACTGAAAGCCTCAGTTCTCATTGCAGTGCCTCAGTACTACATGAACTTTATAAAATAATATTTTCTAGTTCTCCAGTTACCAAGCCATGCAGTTTGTTCCTCGAAGTAATCACAGTAATTGCAGAATGTCTGTGGGTATTCCTTAGTTAAAATGTTGACAGAAGGAGAAAATCCAGCCAAAGTAAATTTGTAACTGTATGCTTTACAGTTCTTGTAAAAAAAAATATTAAAAAAGCTAATAAACAACATTTATGATATATTTCTGATTTCTTAGTGGTAATTCTGAGACACTTATTGCTACTGAGAAATTAAAGGTTTATTTTGAACACTTAATATTTTAAGTTGATTTATTCATTCCCATGTTTAAAAAATAAGCTTTACACTAGAATTGGTTTCATCTGTGAGCAAACACATAATATTTCACTGATCTATAACATGATAAATTTAATGTCAAGTAGAGCTTATCTAGTAAAAGCAGCTCTTAAATTTCTTATCTCAGTGTTCAAAGATGCTTAGACTGGTCTCTGTGTAAATTACAGATGAAAATACTGTGCAGTTTACTTATGGAGAAACTGTTTCCAGACACAATGGTAGTTGTGAGATTCTTTTTTAGAAGATTTTGGATTGTGAAATTAAAACACTAAAAGTTACCAGAATAATTTACCAAGCATTTTCCTTGCAGCTTTTTTTTATGTCCTTTCTCACTTATTTCTCCACAAGTGTTAATTCTTGTTTCCTGTCCCTAGTTCTGCCTGTAACAAAGCCAAAAGCGAGGCTGGAAGATTTAAATTTTGCTGTTTATTTGGCARTAGATCTTTAGAAGGCTAGAACTAAACAGTCTCTTAGGAAATTATTTTTCTTTTTGTTCTGTGGCACAGTAAATTATGAAAAGTTACCTAGCAATGTAGTTTTTGTATTTTAATAATTGCAATTTAACCTTGTCTACATAGAATTCTGAAGGGTTTTGCACATTTCTTTTGGAATGATGTTCACATCTAAACTTTCTTTCCCTTTATTGCTTGGTCCTTTCCTGTCATACATACATACATACTTAAGTCATATCAAAATGTTCATGCATTTCAGGCAATATTTCAAGGAAAATTCCAAAGGAAACAAATCACTGGAAAAAATAAGCAGGATACATGGGTTAAACACCATGAACATATAAAAGTACCTCTGTCATCAGGACTGATAATCAAAGACCATGCACAATCCAGGAGCAATCATATTTTTGAAAGCTTGGACCCARAACTGAAAATGGGTAAAATCTATAATTCATAAATGATTAGGCTGTGTAGACCTGTTAAGAGAGACACAACACTGAAATCTCAAAAAATGTATGTGAAGCTGTTACGTAAAGGTCCCTGAAATGCTTAGTCCTTAACCCAATATTCAGGTAACACCACATTAAACATTAGGATCCTTTTCAAAAAAAGGTTTTGTTTGATGAACGCAACTGTTTCTTTCAGTTATAATTGAAGAGACAGAACTTGTGGGCCTTTGTAAATCAGTTTGTCAGTCTGAGGCCTATACCCTTCCTACTGCAGAGTTACTGAGATACTGAGTAAAGCTACTATGTCTGCATGCTTTCCAGAAGTGGAATGTATGATCATCCACATGTTCTAGGTATAGAACTAAACATTTTTACCTGAATTCAATACAGGTTGGTTAGTCATGTGCAGGAGGTATAGGAAGAATCTCCTAAGAAAAAATAGATATGCAAAGTGTAAGAAATTGTAAATCATCTTAATTATGGCAGGTAACACTCATTAGGCTAAATACATGCAGTGCCAAAGCATTCACACGTAAGTTCACAGGAGTAATCAGCCAGATCACTTCAAAATTATAGTAAAACTATCTGCAGTCCAGTCATAATACTAATGGCCTCCTCTGTTAACTGTGAAACTGTTTACAGCCTATTATTACAAAATAATTTTAAGATACTTTATCTTTTAATAAATACAAAATGGTTTCTTAAAGAATAATTCTTGTGGAAATTCAATACCACTGCTGTCCTTTCACATAATCTGTTTTCTGCCCTGAGGTGACACTGGCTAATAGCAGCAGCAATGCATGTCAGAATGTTACATTCTGACAGGTCTGGAAGGTCAAGAAATCTTGCAACTGCCTAATCCTGTGAACAGRATAAGGAAACTCAGCAGATCCACCCCTTTTATTCAGCTGAACCTAGTAAGACAAGGTGAGACCTTCTCTCCTCAATACTAGGAACAATACTCTGTGGAGAAGTTGATGATTTGAGGACAAAATTAAATGTAATTTTACAGGTTCCCAGGCATCATGGATATGTGTAATAGGCTGTAATCCACCCGTTTTCAGTCCTCTGACTGAGCAGAAGGGAAGAATTAAGAATGTGAGGTTTTGTTTTTATGGCCATTTTAAACTGAAAGCAGGTGAGAAGTGGGAAAGGGGAATGTAAACATGGGGAAATATTCAAAATTATGGGGCTGTAAAGCTTGCACATACCCAGCTCCCAGTTTATGGTGTTAAGCTTCACTTGAGATCTGTGCAAGGATAGGCAATACTTGTATTGTCCAGACAAATATAATGTGATATCCAAATCCCAAGACTTAATTGACAAGATCCACTGTTTAATGCTGGTAAAAGTCTAAAACTCTCTCTTGGGAAAACATAAAGGTTTGAGGGCAGGCTGGACTTCTACTTTAAGTAGTGTCACTAGATGGAGCCAGAAATGCAGGCAAGAATTTTATAACCTGGTCTATCCTGGACCCATCAAAATTTCCTACTGCCTAAAATCTCAGTTTATTTTCCAAACATTGAATTTCATCTGGACGCATATATAAGTGCAAGATGACTGTACTCTTAAATGAATGGTGCAGTTACAGTGTGATTATATTTTTTGTGCAAACTGCATTTAGTTATGGGATAATCATGGTTTTACATTAAGTCTGACCAGCAAAACTGAGCAGGGAATGAGACACATTAACAAATTTCACGATCTATTTGTAATAAATTTTCCCTGTAAACCTACCTAAAACTGGGTTATAAGACCTTAGCTCGTAAACCTTATGGTTCTTCATAGGCTCTTCAATATTTGTACAATTTGGTTTGGGTTTGGCAAAAAAAATCAACCAGCCTGTAGAAATCAACCAGTTGGGGAGACAATACAAATGCCAACATGTAGCATAATACTGCCCCAGGAAGTGATCAAACYTGGAATGTTAGACCAGGAGTGTTAATCCTGCAGCTGCTCTCCAGGAGTACAAGAAGTTCTCCAGTGATTTCAGGCTAGCAGGTAATAACAAATAGCTACAGAAGGAGAGAATCAACACATACTCAAGCTTGGGATTTCCAGATTTTATTTTTGTTACACACCAAACCAGGCCAGAATGTCTGTTCTGCAGCAAGGTGCTGTTCAGGAATCTGAAGCGCAGATTTCCAAATTCTGTTTATTCCTTGAGTTATTCTGAAATGGAAGCAATGTCCTGCAACATAACTGTAACTAAGCTGGTATGATTAAGCAATACTATTGGAAAATCAGTGAATGGCATATTTCTATTTTGTCAAAGCCACAGTTTTTATGATTGTTACAGGTTTTAAGAAAGCTGTTCTGCAGCATCTCTTCAGATAAGACCTACAATCACAGAGTAGTTTGGCAGGCAACCAAGATGGAGCACACAAAGAGATGTAAAGTTGCAGTGTTGCTCCTTGCTGATATTCATGCCTGTTTCATGCTTTACCCTTTAACTGCCAGCTATGATGTCTTATTAAGCAATTGCACTTCACTTCCTGTTTGACACTTTCAAGTGCTTCCGCACCAGAGGACAACCTCTGAAAAACTGCTCGCCAATATCATCTCCATTTACRAGATTTTTCATTTTAAAACTTAAAAACACCTCTGTAGAATGATGAAAAATACATTTTTCTTTGCTGCATTATTTTTACTAGATTTCTTCACCTGCTTTCATGCTTATCTGCAATATCCCTTGCCTGACATAGAAGATGCAAAGTTCATTGAAGATTGTGTGAGAGCTCACAACACATTTCGATCCRAAGTGAATCCACCAGCCAGCAATATGTTTCGCATGGTAAGGCRGTGTTTGTGATCTGCTTGAAACTATTATAGATTGGGCTGCTGATTTAGCCCATCTTATTCTTCATTTGCATTGGGTTATTCTTTCCATTTCAGTTAATGATCTCTGTAACATATATATTTGGTTCTTCATAAGAAATAAAAAAGACATTAATATTCACATTATTGTTCAGTTTTAATAATTTGAAGTCAATTTTTTTTTTTTTTTTTAGCACAAGATTTAGCTACTCTCAACTTCAGCCAGAGCAAAGCGTTGTATTGCAAAATATAGTGTTTGGTTCTCAGTATGTCTTCTTCCTCTTTCTAAAAGGGATAGTAATCTGTTTGTTTTGTTTTTCTTTTTTTTTTTTTTTTTTTTTTTTTTTTATCAGGTCAGGTTTAATACAAGGAAGCCCTTTGGTTTTAAAAAGTTCCTGAGTAAGCAATCTGCACAACAGGATGTGTTATGTTTCTCCTAATCTAGAACATGTGCTGAATAAAGGGCTTTGCCAGGACATCCATTTAGATACCTGATCTTCATTTGCTGTAGCAGGGTTTGAAGAGTAGGGATAGTAATATCTAGGCTGAATAGCAGCTTCCTGCAAATACAATGGATATCAGAACAGGCTATGGGTAGGTCACACGTTTTTCAGTGGAATACATAAGGAAAAATGTGTATACCTAGCTGAGGGAGGTAACCCCCATCAGTGCATATCACTTCTCCTAGCCCTCCAGCAGTGCTGCATAGATGGAAAGGAAGTTAAATGCATAACCACATGCAGAGTATGAATCATTTCTACAAATGGAAGTTCACAGTAAAGGGATGAGATTCAGAGTGCCAGTGACTTCAATTCCTTGTCATTTTAAAAACAATGTTTAATTTAAAAAGCTAGTGCACAAAAGCAAACTTACCCACTCAGAACAAAGCCAGCAATTCTGGAAAATCAGAAAACCAAATATATTTAAAGCTCTTGAATCAAAGTGTTGCATGGTTCTTACAAGCTCTTGATGGATTTCTTTCTGGTTTTTTTCAGCCTGGAGTCATACAAATTTTTATCATTCCTAGCATCTTGTGGTAAAAAGCTGCACAATCTAACCAGAGGTTGTATGAAGCTATTTCCTTGTGTTTGTTTGATTTGAGTCTGTTAATGCTTCATTTAATAGTGTTTGGTCTTTGTATTGGAAGAAGCAATTATTGTTTTTTATTTACCTACTTCACACAAGGTGACCAGATCTATCTCACTGAAGGCGCAGAACACTCCATTGCTATATGAAAGCCCCCTGAACTTGAGGATGATCATCCTACTCCATATTCTCTCTGCTCTGTCTAGTTCTAGGGTTCCTTTTTTTGAGGTGGGGTTTTGTGCTGCACACAGCATTTAACAGAACTTCTACAGAAGTGTGATTATACATGGTTTTATTCTCCATTCCTTTGCAAAGAATTTGCTTTTTAGTCTACTACTTTCAAGTGGAAATAGTCTACTACTTTCAAGTGGTAATACCCATCTCCAAACCTGTTATGAACACAAACTCAGTTTTTTGTCACATCCCTTAACTTGCATTTCCCTGTACTGAACTTTACCTGTCAGCATAAAATCTTTCTGTAAATCTCCCGCATTAGGCTGTCAAATTATCACTTGTACCTCTTTGGATGGGAGTGTTTTCTTCTCAGCCTAGCAGAGATGAGTGAGTCTTTCATTTGCTTTGTCCATCTGCTGAGGAAGGAGAAATGAAAAGAAGTAGAAGGAGGTAAGGAAGGGAGCAGCTGTGACTCTCCCCTCTGTCCTCACCAGCGGAACAGAATTCCTACCTGGTCTGGTAATAATTGCAAAGTGCAAATCTCCTAGGTACAAAGCCTCACAAGTTCCTGTACCTCTGGGAGTTTCACACTTACCCCCTCTCAGGTGCAGCAGCTTAAAGACTGCCCTCCAGCTCTAAGTATATTAACAGTCAGATACAACAGGATAGTGGATAGATACTGCGTGTCCTGCAATAGCTAAGGGAGAAAGAAGACAAAAATTTGCCATGGGAGTAGAAATGTCAAGTGAGAGAAAGAAACTGAATGCAGGGATGAGAAGTGGAAAAGGGGAAAAGAACTCTTACAAGTTCCTATTTAAAAATATTTGAATTCAGCTAAGTCACTGCAGTGAAGGTTATAGGGTTATAGTACATTTTCTTTCTTTTCTACAGTCCTGGGAYGCTGCTTTAGCTAAGACTGCCAAAGCATGGGCAAAGAAGTGCAAGTTTAAGCACAATATCTACCTTGAAGTGCCAGGGAAAATGCACCCTACATTCCGACATGTTGGAGAAAACATCTGGACTGGCACGGCCCACATCTTCTCTGTGGATGCCGCTCTCAAGGCCTGGTTTAATGAAGTCAGCAGCTATGATTTCAGCACCAATAAATGTAGTGGCATGTGTGGTCACTACACTCAGGTGAGTCTTAGATGCCCAGTGCTTTATAGTCTGATATACAGGCGGTCTAATTTCACTGAAAATCTGAGTACAGGCTTGGAAGAGATTGCTTTGGAACAGGAATTACAGCAGGGCTTTGCAACTCCCACTTCATTATCACATGAGATTGGAAATAGATATTACAACCCTCAGTAATGTCCAGGTGTCGTGGTTTGAACTGGGCCGAAAGCCAAAGCACCCAACGACGTTCCCTTCCCCCCCCCCCCACCAGAGAGGCAGAAGGGAAAGCAAAAGCCCAGTTACCACTAAAATGTATGGCTTTTAGATAAGATATCATAATTGAGAGAAAGATATGTATATGCTCCAGAAAATGGTCAGACAGGATGAATAACTTAAGTTGCAAAATKGATATATTACTAAAARCTACTAAGAATACTATCACAGTAGGGAGGGAAACAAAGACAGGGAAAAAATTTACAAGGAGAAGAAAATAAAAACAGACATTTTAAGACACCTGTTATTCTTTCTGGGAACCTGGCTCTCTCCCAGGTCGTCCCTCTCCACCCCTCCATGCCTTCCCGTGTGCAAAGAGGGACAGGGATGAAAGTTTAACATAGATCAAATTACTCATTACGGTTATCGTCCAGCACCATAGGAGAAGAGTCCTTACAGCTCCAAGCTGTGGAAGGTCTTTTCCTAAGAAACAGTCAGTGTATAACTGCTGATGGCATGGGATTCTTTTTCTTTACCTCATGGGAGAAAGGAGAACAGTTCTCCAAGGCCACGCTGTCAAATCTCCTGGCAGAACCCAGCTTCTTGCAAGCATCTGCTTGCTTCAGATGTGGGGCAGGGGAGGCACCTCTTCCCCCGCATAACACAATTTCTTCCACGTGTCAACTCACTTCGTATGTCATGGGGGGGCCAAGCCTCTTCCCCCTTTTTGGCTTATCAAARTCCTCAAATGCCAGGTTTTTCTCAGAGCAAGGTCGCTCTCTTTTCTATACAGGTCTCCCATTGAAGAAATAGTCCTTTCGAGAACAGCTTGTTTTCTCCATGTTCGAGCACCACAGCAATAGCACAACATCTGTCTTCTTCTTACTGTGATCTCCATTTTTTCCATTTTTTTCTTACATCTCCTCACCTTCCTCCTCTGTCCTCCCCCAATGCATGATACTAAAAATGAAATACTAACAACCTAAAAACTAAATGGCAGCCACACTCTATCTTGTTTTGAATTCTTCTTAAGTACAAGACCATACGTCATCACAGAGGTGTAACAAGCCTGTGCAATTGGCCCAGGCCTGACCAGCAGCCTGTCCATCAACCTCAGAGCCATAATGGATTGGCTCTAAAACACARGGGGCAGAGCTCCTTTTGCTGGAGAAGAAGGAGAAAGCTTCTAGAACTTTGTCAAAGGAGCCATCTTTGTGGTTTCTTGGTCCCATCCCCCCATCACCAAAAAACCAGACCGAGCAAAACCAGGACACCAAGTTCTACTTCCAGTAATGATGGAAAGGGATTATCCCCTGGCAATTTAACGTTTACAGGGAAGCCACATAATGAAAGCAGAAATGGCTACCTATCAGTGATTTGTCCCAGCTGCCCTTCAGGTTGTTTAAGTTGTTCCTGTGTCAGCTGATTTAAATTTCCCTGAGATACTTCCCTTCTCCTTCCTGCCTTAATGTTGTTGCTTTGGYAGTATTTGAACAGTACATTATGTATTTCCATGTCCTGCAGGTTGTTTGGGCAGAGAGTTACAAAGTTGGCTGYGCAGTTCACTTCTGCAATGAAGTTGAAAATTTTCCAGGACTGTTCAAAGCAGCACACTTTGTTTGTGACTATGGGCCACCGTAAGTTAATTATAACATTTGAGTTCTTTTTATTTTTTTAAATATCCTAACTAATCTGGTATCAGATGCCAATATGTTTTGTTGTAACAAATTGTAGAATAAGCTACATCCTCATGAAACTTGCCCAAGGCAAGCTTACCCTGGCCACTGGGAACAGAACCTACTGGACATAGCTGCAACTGTAGAAAATCCCATTCTAAAGCAGGAGAGCAGATCATAGCTGAGAGCACTCACTGTAAGACAAATGGTGGAAGAAAATCTGTTTTGACTTCATTCACTGCAGGAAAAGTGGAAAAGGTGCAATCTTCCCACTTCAGAGAGATTACATCTTTCCATAGCCCTACCCAAATTTCAAACAAGACATTGTAATTTAAGAAATAAAACAGTCCTTTAGTTTATCTGGTATCTTGCAATATGTTGACTTACTTTTTACACGTTTATTTTTTAAAATCCAGATGGGTAATAAGGGACTAGAGGCAGATTCTTGTATGCTTACAATAATACTGTGTTGCTTGAGRAGTCTCTTTAATTCCCAGTGATGAGAGTCAACTGCTCCCCATGCCAGTGACAGCTTTAATCTGGTGTAAAAGAATTTAAAACTATTTCAATGACCAGTTTTTTTTATAAAGGAATCCCTCCCCCTGATAATTTTTCAATGACAGCTAACAAAAACTGTTTCTGTTTTGCAGAGGGAATTACCCAAGAAAACCATATAAAGAAGGACAGCCATGCAGTAGATGCAGTAATGACAAGTGTGTAGACAAGCTCTGTGGTAAGACCAAAGCGACCAACTTAGAAAATTGCATAGAATAGAAGTGGTATAATTARCAGTGGAAATACAAGAAGTCAATCTGCACTAAGTGCATACGGGGTGGTAGAACATCACACAGCAACAGTACCAAACCCTGGAGCATTGTATTAGAAGGAGATAATTGGAATACTTTGCTGTTGAAAGCTCTCAGAAGTAGAAGCCAGAGTTTCTGATGCAGCGAAGTATCAGTTAGATTGCTTTCTCCCTTTTATCTGGTCAGGAAGTCAAATCCAAAATTTTAGCCCCAACAAATATTCACTGTCTGGTTCTTCTTTACCAGCAGAAACAGAGATTTATCTTCTGCTTTCTTGCTTGTTTAGCATGTCCTAATGCATTTTCCAGACAACTGTATTTCTGAACCAATAGATAGTAAGACTCTACTGAAAAGCAGTTATTTCTGAGTTCTGAAAAAGAGCAGTGAAAGCTTGTTTGTAACACTCTTCCTTAGTATGCTCAGTGTTATCAGAGTGCTGCTGGAAAATAATTAAATGAACAGTTGTAACAGAGCTCGAAAGTCTCGAGGGATGAGGGGATTTTAATCAAATCTGGAGGAGCAATTAATAAAGGACTGGTAACCCCTTTGGACCAGGCTTGGGGCAGCAGTGGGATGCCTGGCTGGTGCTGGGACCCAGTGTGGGACTGAGCTAGCACAACCTCCTCCCTAACCCTGCAAAGATGCAACAATGAAAGGAGTAAAAGCCTCTCTGGGGTGGATGTGTTCYCTGCAAATGTGTTGTCTGGCCTGGGAGAGAAGCAGGCAATGGCAAGGGGCTCAGCCTGGTCCTTGCTGCTCCCTCCCTCCTATATTGAACCAGAGTGAGTCGGTGCTGGGTCCGTCTGTTTGGTGTTAGGGTGTGGGCACAGCAGGGAAACACACAGCCTGTGACACCCTGTCACTCTAAATCTGTTCCAAACAGCAGTTTGCAGGGGTTGGACCTTTATGTCAACACACCTAGTCCCAAACTGGGCCATGTTTTAAATAAACAGAGATTAAAGGACATGCAGCAATGTCTTAAATCAAATAGAATTTTATACAGAGGTTTAATGGGGATGGTCTTTACGACCCAGGCTCTAGACAGCATCAGCTGTAGAAATTATTGAAAATTTGGTGCTCTTATTTCCTTCTGTAATATCCTGGCTGACTCAAAGTCTCAGACTGATGCATCACAGGAAAACTAGAAATATCTCAAAGACTAGGGGGAGGGAGAGCCTATCACCCGCTTTTACTGTTTTCTCCTATAGTGCAAATGAGGAATTTCAATAGGATGCACATAGGCAATCCTGCGAATGCATCAAAACTTTTAGTTAAGATGTACTTCTGTAATAAATTAGTTATAATTGTCTGTCTGCAATTGTCTGTAATAAGTTAGTTATAATTGTCTGTCTGCAATTACTGAAACTTGATATGTGTAACAATTTAAAATAAATTCCATATTTTGTTGTTATTTTTTATTCCCTCATCCCCATGACACAATTCTTCCTGATACAGCTGTTTTTTCTGCTTCTGCTCCAATTCAGTAAAAAATATGATCTCCACACCAGCTGGGAGCCTGCTCTTGCTGGCCAGCTTCCCCCTTTCAAGATGTTTTAGGCATTAACTGGCATCACCAGCAAAAGCTTACCTCTTTACATTAAGAACCACCACTGAATGATACTCACATTTCTTTCCTCTTCTGATCTCTTTGCAGAAAATACAGAACGTGAGAAGCTGATAAGTACGTATCAAATTGTTCTTAATGGTCTTTTATAATTTTGGCTAAGTCTGATGGGTCTTAACACCTGTTTCTTCCCTGACTTCCAGGTTATGCCAACTGGCATCCAGATTGGGATACACAGCCGCAGCCCCAGCCACCACGGCCCCATCCCCCCAGGCCTCCTGTGCCACCATCCATCCCACCTGCTGAGCATCCACATCCCTCTTGTGACCAATACTGCCTCAGTGTTTTAATTTTAAGGCCACTTCTTCTCGTACTGAGTGCTGGTGCTGTACTTCTAGTACAACAACGATTTCCACACACATTTTTTTATGAGTAATAGTCAATTAAGATATTGATAGTCATCCTGTATTACTGCTGTATTACTCTCATACAATTGTACTAATTTAAAAAAAAAAAAACACTTTTGGTCATCTCTCATTATCCCTGAGATGTTTATCCAGCATAGGAAAGGCTGCTTCTTCACTCAAGGCAAATATTGGCTGTAGTTGCAACATGCTTCTATGTCTGTACAAGCCTCTTAGCTCTAGGGGTAGATTACTAGAGGGACCACGGAGACTACGTATTACTCCATGTGCTTAACAATCCTCCTGGAAACCTGAGGCATYACAAAGACATGTATGAAGGGGCACATCCAAAAAAAGCAGTAATTGATCTTCATTAACCTTCAGTTATCCCAGGCACAATTTTCGCCAGAAAATGGAGATTTAACTGCAAATATTACTTTCTATAAACAGGAGTAAAGCTTGTCATTTGTTGTATTTAGCCTGTTACTCTACTGTCAGTTGCACTATTCAGTTCTGCTCTCAGTTAATCTTTGTTCTCCATAAATAGAAGAATACCAGGGAAAGATGACAGAGTAAGGATTAAGGTAGGGTGTCAATGGGGAAATCTTAATTTTAGGATGTGAGATGGTGAAAATATCTAAAATAAAGAGTAGATGAAAGCCATCCTGAGCTTTCAGGCAGCAGGAAACAGACAGAAGATGAAATGAGCCCAGGACAGATTCTGGTTTAGAAATTGAAGATTTCAGCCTCATTTAAAAAGACCAAACCACTGATGGATTCAGTTTCTTTTAAGAGACATTTACCCCTCAACCAGGCCCCTATTGTTCCAATATATGTTTATTAGTAAGGGGAATAAAGCAGTCTTTCAAGACAGGAGATTCTGGCTGATATTAGCAATGCATAACTGTGCTATCAATATTAAAGCTATTTTCCCTCCTTTATCTTTCTTCTAATATTTTAAGAACAGTGATTCCAATTCTGAGCCACACAGCAATATGTCATCCCACAAAAAATGAGCCCTAACCAAGGTTCTTGCTAACAGATCCCTTGAGGTGGGATAGAGCGAAATGACACTGAATGACTGGTATATAAATAAATAAGGTAGCTTTATTTTARAACAATTTGGTTGTAATGGAAATGAAGAAAATGTATCAGGAAAAGAAAGAGAAAAAAGCAACAGCCTTAACAGCATCTATTTTCATCACAAGAAAAAAATTTATCCAAAACTTTTCTGCAATGCATAGTGATTGCTATGAATAGGATTACAGGTGCCAAACAAATACTAACAAAGAAATCTAAAGGACAGGAGAGACGCTTGCCCACCACAAGTAAAGAAAGAAGAAAAAAAGGCTGTAACAGCTTGTGAACTTGTAGTTTAATTTCCTTATTCTCATAGCAGTGTTCTTGGAATATGACTCGTTTCCTGTGACTAACGCTGTATTAAATTACTATGGCTAAGATAAGCCATACCCACGAGTCTTCCAAGCAAAACGCTGCTGGTGGAGCTAAAACCACTTGGTACAGCTGGAGCATTCTGGTTTTAAAGCTGGAAGACTAGATGTTAAGAAGCATAACTGTAAAGAAGGGGCTAAAAACATTTGCAATGTATGCCTGAAGCAAGTGCTCGGTGGCGGAACTCGTCGCAGAAAACTTACTTGGTGCCCCAGCGCACAAACCACAGAAATGAACAGTCTTTCAGCGCTGGCCCTGCGGGGGCACGAGCGACACTGATACTTTTCCCTTCGACCTTCCATTGCGGTGTGTAACACAGCGAGGGAGTAACAGCAAAGCACAGGCAGCGGGATCCCTATCAGGACACTCCCTTTTGCGGATGCTGGCCCCGTACGACCCCAGAGCAGGCCCGGCCCCGCTCGCCCCGCGCCCCCGGCCCCGCGCCCAGCACTGCGCCGCCTGCTACTGAGGCGCCAGGCCACGCCCAGTCTGCCCCTCTGAGGAGGAACTCCATAAAGGTTGCTCAGGGAGGGAAATTGGCGATTTCAAGACTACGAGTTGGGCGCAGTGAGCGTTCAGCGGCATGCCACTATATCCACGGTGGGGACTTCCTGCTTGCACCATCTCTCTTCTACTCCCTTTCTCAATGACAAGCAGATTTGCTGTTTGTGTGCTGGCTTTGCTGCTCTGCTGTCATTGCTCTGATTCCTATGAACCATCGACATTGCCCGATCCTCGGGATCCACAGTTCATTGAGGAATGTGTGGAGACACATAACAGATTCCGGTCCGGAGTGGATCCACCAGCCAGCGACATGCGCTACATGGTAAGGGAATCTCCATGACTTATACAAATGTGTAGCATTGTGGTGGTGTTTATGATCCTCGAAGATTTCTTTTTTTTGATCGAAAGATTCGATTTTTTGATCGATTTTTTGATCGAATGGAAAAGATCAGGAAAAAACAAGTCAGCCTCCCGAATCATAAGCCTGACTGCTTTTTAAAGGAGAGAGGAAGGTTCCAATGTTCAGGTGGCTTTATACTGTGGGTATGTGTATAGTTTTGCCCTGACTTAAATTCTTCATTGGAAGCCCCAGATTTCAGCCCTCAGCCGAGCGTTGTCGTTGTGTTGTGTGAAGAGTCTCCTCGTTGGGAGGCACTCGGCTACTGGAGGTGTGGTTTTATGTCCCCGTCTAAGAGAACTTACATGCTCGAGTCGAGGGCAGAGCCTGTTGCCAAACAGCGCTGGAGAGTTTCTTTCTGAGCTTTCTTTGACTATTCTTTGCCAGGCTCTCACGGACAGAGCCAGCAGGGCAGCCGTTCCGAGGGGCTGGGCCTGCAGGGAAGGCCGAAAAGCAGCAAGTGCAGTAGGATGGTGGGGACATCGTGGCCCCCACAGCTCTGTCCCCGCCTGCTCTCTGGGCACATCAGCAGTATCTGCAGCTACTGTCTAAAACACAGCCTGGCTTTCGAGTAGAACAGCCATTGTCCTCATTCTGAGCTTGCTCTTTTTGCCCGGCTTTCTTATTACTGCACATGGTCACCACCAGAAGAGGACATAACCACAGCTGTAATTAGCAGCACCCCAGCTGAAGCGAGAAAAAAAAAAAGTTCATTTTCCATTTCTGGTTGTCAAACACTAAAAGATAAATGCCCCATTCAGGAGGGGTAACTGAGCAGTAATCAAACTTGAATTGCAAACATGACAGGAAACAAGTTAGTTTCTCTTCTAGATGAATCTTTTATTTCACCTCTCAGCTGCACCTCCTGACCTTCAGTACATGTTGCTTTGGACTCTTTTTTTTCTACATGTGTTTACTGGCCCTAAACGAACAAAATCTTGCTAGGATGTGTTAAAAGTGGAGTACTCACATTTTTAAATTGTGCCCAATTTCTCCTTTTGAAAAAGAACTGAAATCTGTAAAAAAAAAAGGTAGCATGAGAAAGAGACAAAAAATTGCATATAAAACAGAAACTAAATTATTTAACTTTCTTTCAAAACACTGCATAAACTCGTAGTCCTAAAATATGACCTCTCCCGGGAACTATATAATGTGGAGAAAGCAGTACAATACATGATAAATGTMTTACAAAAGTGAAAGCATTGGAATTGAAAACTATTTTGAGTAGCCTTTGGCACTTCAAAAAGGCAGAAAAGAAGATGGCACCTTTATTTCACAGGGAACTTTTTTTTTTGCTGGCAATAACTCTTCACCTAGATATGTAAAAATTAATCTTGATTCAGGGCATTCCCATCTTTTGGAAAAGTAGTTTTTAAAAGAAAGTATAAAATGGAAACTCCTTTAATGGCAAGTAACAAAGCTCAACGATAGATATTTGTGGTACATGTATTATAAAATTAGAATGTTGATCTAAATTTTTTTTACCTGACAATTGTGAGCCCTTTCTCATCCATCCAGAGCATTGCTTAGTTCTGTTCTAAGGCTCCTCAGAAGCAGCACAGTCTCACCAGTTTCATCAGGGCTTCACAACAGTCTCCTTTGAATTAGTGCTGCCTTCCATCACTTTTCACTTATTATACATTCAGTTTTTCCTTCTTAAATCAGTAAGCAACTTGTTATAAAGTGAAAACTGAGAAGTAGTTCATCGGGGGAAAAAAACCTGTACATATTGTTTCCTTAACAGCAGTGATATCTATATGCAAATCTCCTTGTCCRGTGCATTTTCTTCCCATGCCATTTAGTCCAATCTTTCTGTTCAAGTGCAGTATTATAAGCAAGTAAGGAGTGTAACTGCAGTTAAACTAAAGATCATTGTGAACATTTCTGTACACGGCCTTTAATCTGTCAGCCGGTGTAAGCATTCACACAAAATAGAAACTATATTTAAACTTACTAATGCAATTTTAAACTTGGTATTATGCATATTTTTATGGAACTTTAAACTTAATAATACTGTAGGATGAAGGAGAAGAAATGCATGAACTTGGAAGAAGCAGAGCATGAGARAAAAGAGAGTGTATCCCCCACTGTCATACATCTTTTGTCATTATCTTGTCATCTYGGGGCATTGTCAAGATGTAAACTGTAGCCTCTGTCTTAACTGGCAGAGTCAGCTTCCAGGACTGCAAGATAATTTCTGTACAGTGCCAKATTTTATCCATTGTCCATAAAAGTTACCTAAGGAAATACCAACTGCTCACTTGAAATAAGACCCCCTGCCCCAAATTCAATACTTTATATACTGAGTTCCTTTGTAAATTATTTATGTCCTAATTTTGTGGGTGTATTTCGTTTGCATGGAGAAGTTTTGGAAGTGGAGGGGGGGATACAGGGGTGACTTCTGTGAGAAGCTGCCAGAAGCTTCCCCCATGTCCCACAGAGTTTTTCCCCGCTGCTGGCCAAGGCCAGGTCCATCAGCTGCAGTGGTAGTGCCTCTGGGATAATACATTCAAGAAGGGGAAAGGTTGCGCACAAGCAACTACAGCCAGGGAAGAGAGAAGTGAGAGTATGTGAAAGGAACAGCTCTGCAGACACTGCGGTCAGGGCAGGAGGGTGGGCAAGAGATACTCCAGGCGCTGGATCAGATTCCCCAGCAGCCCATGGTGCAGCCTGTGGTGAGACAGGATGTGACCCTGCAGCCCCTGGAGGAGCACAGATCYGCCTRCAGCCCATGGAGCACCCCACACTGGAGCAGGTGAAGGCCTGAAAGGGGCTGTAATCCACTGGGAAGCCCAGGCTGGAGCGGGGTCCTGGCAGGACCTGTGACCTTGTGTGGAGARGAGCCCACACTGATCAGGTTTTCTGGCAGGACCTGTGATCCCATGGAGGACCTATGCTGGAGCAGTGTGTTCCTGAAGCACTGCATCCTGTGGAGGGACCATGCTGGAGCAGTTCATGAAGAACTATGCCCCATGAGAAGGACTCAAATYTGAGAAGTTTGTGAAGGGCTGTCTCCTGTGGAAGGGACCCCACAGTGGAACAGAAGAATGTGTGAAGTCCTCCCCCTGAGGAGGAGAGGGTAGTGTTTGAACAGAGCATAACCCCCAATTCGTATAACCCCCATATGCTTCTGTGGGGGAAGAGGGAGTGGAAAATAAGGACTGAAGTTARGTTCTGGAAGAAGGGAGAGGTGGGGGGTASGTGTTTCAAATTGTAATAAATACAGTTAATTTCCCCAAGCTGAATCTGTTTTGCTTATGACAGTAACTGGTGAATGATCTCTCCCTGTCCTTACCTCAATCCAGGAACGTTTGATTGTGTTTTCTCTTTCCTCGCCCAGCTGAGRAGGGCAGTGATAGAATGGCTTGGGGGGCACCTGGCCAATGGGAAAATACCTGACCCTCCACTAATGTTAGTCAAATGAAGAAATGGAAGACATAGGTTCCAAAGTACTTTCAAATCTCTGTAGATGCATTTTGGTGTGATCTTTTGATTTTTAATTACTAGTTGGTAGCATAAACAATACACATTGTCTCAGACTGAGCTATGGTACAAAAAAAGGTTACTTAGATAAAACATAGATACAAAATCTCATAACTTACTTTTGTTAGATTCTACCAAAAAATCTACAAAAAGGTACATTGTAAAGTATACCTTTTCCTTTATAATTTCTGATGCATTCAAAACAATTTCCCTAGTGATTCCATCATTTGCAGAAACAAATGAGATATTTTTATTAATTCAGAAGAGAACAAATTACTTTTAAAAAGAATTCAATACAAAATAGTTTAATGCTGGAAACTTCATTGACATAATAGAAAGTAAACTAGAACTACAAGCATACACTTACAGTTCTGTATCTACCAGAACGTACAACGATGTAATCATTCAATCAAGGTGTGTGCAGGAGAAAACCCAGCAAGGGCAGATACCACCTCCAGTGCAAACAAAAGGCATTTATATAACTCAATTGCTTAAATAACTACTTCTGTAAAATTGAATAGCAAGTGAATGAGTCATTCCACAAATACGAATTCAGCTCTAATGTTTCAAGCCACCAAACACAATGATGCTCAAAGGGTTGAGTTTAAATTGTCCCCAAAATCCCATTGTGCTTGGGAACTGCCCTGAATGCTGTGGCCTTAAGCAAACATGAGACTACAGAACACTTTTGCATTATTGGTATGGTAAGCATAACCCTCACTCTCCAGATTTTGTGTAAATTTAGTTTAATTTACACATATGTTCTGTCATRGCCCGCACTGCCTTGAAATGCACATTTTGCCACAAACACTGTATCTGACTGATGTACAACTCTTGGTGTCCAACAAACCAGTCAGCCAAGATCCTACACCACCCCAAAAATTTTGTCAAGCTTAATCAGCAATTTTAAGTTCAGATCAGGAATGAACCTACAAGCCTGCAGAGCCATGTTGCTCTGTAACCCACAACCAAAGGAAAAAATGAACCGAAAGCATCTACACTATTTAGACCCAACTTCTCCTGAAAGCTTCTCTGAATTACTGCATTGCTAATATGACAGAGTGATTTTTAATTGTCCTTATTTGCAGACTTGGGATCCAGATTTGGCAAAGACTGCAAAGGCTTGGGCAAAGAAATGTCTATTTAAACATAATATATACCTCCAACAGCGAGGGAAAACTCACCCCAGATTTGCTTTTGCTGGAGAAAACCTCTGGACTGGCTCAATTGCTGCCTTTACCGTGAAAGGAGCCATCACCTCTTGGTACAACGAGGTCCAATTCTACACTTACAACACCAATGAGTGCAGTAAAGTATGTGGCCACTATACACAGGTAGGCATTGCATTTCTCCATCTAAACCATGAACCAGCTTTACTATTTTTGTACAAAAGCTCAACATTTCTGTTGAAGATTCAATGAACTTTTCCAGGTTCTGTAATCTTGCTATATGTCTGTGTACACAGGATGTTCTTATGTTCCCACTGTGTTATTACTTTAAATTTGGCAGTTTGGGGTTTTTTTTCAGGAAGAGAACAGTGCAGCCATCGAGCAGTCAGGTTAGCCAAGCAATGGCCAAACAACAGGCATGGCAATGGCTGATGCTGCAATGCATGAGTGGAATGAGGCCCCAGCTCTGTCAGGCAGACTTCATGTGCCAAGGGCTTGAGAAGTACCATCATGAACAGAGATGTCTGCAGTTCTGCAAACATCATATGCACACTTTGTCCAACTGCTATTCCCAAAGAAAGTGGGCGAAGTGAGGAAAAGGAATGCCACTGCCGTGCAACTGTGCAATCACCCACAGCTATAGGAAAGCAGGACAGCTTGCAGCAGCAGCTCTTGGGTTAAATTTTGACCTGACACTATTTAATATTTTTTGCAGAGCTATCCATGTGCATTTAGGACTGGAGTAGATTAGGTGAAGCTGGTGGGCTTTCTGAACTTATGTGCAGAGAAAATACTTGGATGCAGAAGCTTTGAGGGGTGACTGTGTTGCTTTTTGAGCTTGCTCACAAGGACATTGCAAGAGTCAGCATATGGAAACTGCACTGAAACACACCTTACCTACCACAGTGCTGTTGACTATGTTGTTTGTAGAGGAGCAGCCCATGCAGTTTCATGGGGGTAGAATGAAAAAATAAGATCATTCTCACTTGGCATTAACGGTGATAGTGACTGTAGTTAGAAGATGTATGTCTGCCTTGGAGGTATCCATTGGTCTTTACTGTTGGGGAATTCCTCATTCCTCTTTTTCTTCCCAAATGTGGAGAAGAAATCTTTCCCTGGGCRCAATTACTGCAGTTACCACAAATCACATTCCCAGCATATTCCTCAGTCAGTGGCCTCCTGGCATGGGGAGGGGACTTTGATTCAGTCCTTCACAGTCCTCAAGGACGAAATTGTCTATGGCTGGTGCCAGGAGCAACCTCTGCTCTGCCACTGCAGCTRAAAGAGAGAGGATCAGCAAGTGAAGTAATGGCCTTGCCTCTAGATTATTTTAGTCACAGCCATGATGTTAAAAGGCAGGATGGCAGCCTGGACACAGTCCTCCTCCCTGCTCCACCCTTAATACCAGTGCCTTCTGGCAATTTGCCTATATGTCCCACGGGATCTAGTAAAGGGGCAGTCAGCCCGCATAGGAGCTGTAAGCAGATCAKGCAGCCTTTTCTGCATAAATTTGACCTCAGCTCCCACAGCAGGAAAGACAGAAAGCTAATGGATTAGCTTGAAACAAAGGAGATTAACTTGCACCTTTCTCCTTTACAAATGAGGAAAACAATCCATTACAGTCAGTTATTTCTTCTTTCARCATGGTTCTAACAAATATGTGGTGAACTGGGTAATATACCAGTCTTTTTTCAAGAATAAACTGTGATTTTGAGATCACTGCTGCTTTTCCCTGTGAAGCCTGCCCAAGGAGTCCTCCTTATCCCACCTGTAAGTCATAAAACAGAGGAGGGCAGGTCTTCTAACTCTTCAGGTGCTGAATCAAAGTCTCTGTCACCAGCATATCCATCTGTCTTTGCAGGTAGTTTGGGCTACAAGCTACAAGGTTGGCTGTGCTGTCCACTTCTGTCCCAAGGTGGCGTACACCTCCATACCCAATGCAGCGCACTTCATCTGCAACTATGGGCCACCGTAAGGTTTTCTGTTACAAATATTTTACAGGGTTTGGGTCCTACCCCTTCCTTCCCACCATTTATTAGAGTTAGTCTATTATTAGTCAGTCCATTTAGTTATGGTTTTTTGTGGGAGGAAATGGTCCCCAAAAGAGAGAAAGAGGTACACCTATGTCCAACCAGCTTTTATTTATTTGCTACATGGGGGCTGTTTATTGGAGCCAAAAAGCAGAGGGACTGGAAGAAAGGATTAAATACAAGGTGTTGACATGAAAATACTGAAGTGATCATCTGAAAGTTAATGCCTTGCTCTTGAGTGCCAAGATGGCCACAGATGGTTGCCAAGGTGCAAGCCCAAAGTCTGAAGATACTCCCACACGTGCCTGCAGAATTAAGCCCCTAAGTCAATGGCTTGGATAAATATTGAAGTGTGCAATGCTGGCAGCCTGCAGTGKKAATAGCTGAGGGCTGCTTATGAGGCTGGCGCTGCTCAAGGCAAAATTTGATCCACRGGTCCTTCATATGCAATAGGCAGTAAGATATCCAGCTAGGATGGATGTATTTTTCTATTCTCCAGCTAATTAATGCCACCACGGTATAAATGCAGCTTTAAAAGCTTTACGTGCATACCATGTTAGGCCCAGGTCAGGCCAGCCCTTGAACTCAAGCAAGTTTGGCATTCCTTTTGCCCACGCCTCATCTTTGCAAGAATAAGTACCCCTGACAGGATACCTTGAAACAACACAGCTGCTGCTCTTCCTGGAAGCCTGACTCCCAAATGTGTTGTGCAGAGGGCCAAAATCACAGTGGATTTCTTGCCTTGTGTTGGCATGGGAAAGAGGAGCGGTGCCCTCACCAGCAACCAGCAAAGCAGGCAGGATGCTTTCTGGAGAGGCAAGGGGCTCTAGAGAGGGGCTTTAAAGCTCGGTGAAGACACTGGAGATGGGCTGTTGCATGTTAACAAGTAATGTCACATCCAGCTGTTGATTCTGAGAAGCAGCAGCTTCATTGTTTTATTTCAGCTCTGCCAAGGAGCCAGGCAAGATGCATACACAATTTCCTAAAGTGAATGTACTCATCTTAGAGCAAGCAGTGAAAGCCTCACCTTGTTGAGAATAATGAAGTTTCATCTCATTCTCTTCATTTTGTATGCTGAGATTGCATACAAAATCCCTCTCTCAGTGTTGATGAGAAGTTTAAGGCATGCTGTAAGTCCTGCTTAGGCCACGCTTTGAGCAAAGTGAAGCACTGAACTGTGTTTGGTGTAATGTCAGCCTGGGCAGAGGTACTTGGTCCCACTYATACCACTGGCAGAGGAAGGAAGCAGGAGAGAGACCCACATCACACCTAAAATACTAACCAATAAATGGATGAAATCACCACCTATGAGAGGTTTTCCAACACCAGAGCATTCCTCTTCAAGACTGAATACACACATAGATACACAGTAACTGAACCTCCTATTGTTTCCATGGCTAGAGACAGCTATGAGAGTCCAGAGTCTCCACACACACGAATTACCCAGTTTTGAGGCTGCTTTAATTCCCAGGCTTGTAGTACTGCTGTCTCCAGTTTTCTAAACCTCTTCTACTTCACTGTGTGTCTTGGGCTGTTGAAAAAAACATCACTCTTACCAACACAAGTGAAGCAAAACTCAAGTTAAAACCTAATTAGCAGTAGGTATTAATGTTCTGCCAAGGGCTGTTTGAGAGCAGTATTTTCCTTTGCAGTGGGAATTACCCAGTGCGCCCMTACAAGACAGGAACCGAGTGCAGCGAGTGTGGCGGCGAGCAGTGTACCAACAAGCTGTGTCGTAAGTAGAAGACAATCAGACATCCTCCCCAGGCTGGGGATATAGAAAGGAAAGGAGTACACAGAAGATACTGACAGGAGGCAAGCACAGCACTGTCCTGTTCCTAAATATAGGCTGAAAAACTGCAGCCAGAAGCCAAGTGGATAGTGATGCACAAAGAGAGGAGAGGAGGGTGGAAAGGCCTATTTTCTACCCTRGGGAGTGATGGGGTGGGATTTGCTCTTCAGGTGCTGGAGGGTATGATGCAGCAGATAACTGCAGCTGCAGGTTAAGATGTTAATACTCCTGCCAGAAGTTACTACTTGCAGAAACAGAAAACAGAGAATTGGATACCTRTCCCATCCTGGGGGCTCCAGATTCTATTACCTGATGTGTGAGCTGTGGCTTGAGCTGCTGCAGGTCCAAGCAAGCTTTGCCCCTGCCATGCCACTGTGGGTGGGGAGAGCAGCCATGGCACTGCCAAAGCTGCACGCTCCAATGAACATCAGCCAGGCCATCTGCCTTCGCCTAAGCCCTGGGTGAGAACAAGGCTGATGTACAAGAACCTTCATGAGGATGCAGTGATCAGCCTAAGTGGCAGCCTTCCAGATATGCCTRGCCTTGGCATTGTAATGGCTACATGGAGTCAGAAGGGAAGGAAACTGGAAATTTCCATAAAAACAAGGCACTGTGCTGTGGACACTGACCTGAGGGAAACTGAGGTTATGGAAACACTTTTCCCCAGTACTAGACTGTTGGTGAGCTAAAGGAATGGGAAGATGGCATTAAAACATAGGTACTGCAGGAATGTGGGGGAGTTCTGGATTCAAAGGGCTGTTTAATGTGAGGCTGGCTGAGAATCTCAAAACACAAAGCATAGGGCAAAAGCCAAAGTCAACTTGGGAAGCACACCTGGGTGGGTGAGTTTTCTCTACACCACCTACTGATGAGAGGACCAGTCAAAAAAGTGTAATCAAGCACTCCACAGCAGAATCCTGTGAGTCACAGCASGGCTCTTCCAGAGTCAGGAGGTCCTTGCCTCTTACTGAGAACACCTTAGTTATATTCATAAGCCCATTATGATGCTCTCATTTCATTCCCTTTTGGTTAGAGTCAAATTGTCTCTAACTTGTAAGTTTGCTTATGTTTACTTCTTTTCTCTCTTCAGGAAATCTCCAGCGTGATAAAATCGTTGGTAAGTACCTGCAGAATTACTGCTTCCTTTTGTTGCCCTTGGTTGCAGTTACACTTGAAAACAAGTGAATTGTTTTGTTTACAGAGGATTTCAAATGGTATCCAGAGTGGGACAAACCTGCATGTGATGAATTCTGCGTCACCATTATTTCCGTAAGGTTAATACTCCTTTTACTGACTTTTCTGGCCACTTGGCTCCTACCAAAATAYTGGTCTATAGTACCTGCCAGTGGGTGACACACATGTAGAAGACTACAAGAGCACTTGGCTCAACTCATCTCTTCCATTCACCTAAGTTACTGGTGGCACAAACATTGGTAGATATATTGTTTGCATCTATAGATGGTTTAGAAGTACAGAAATAACATCTTCATTGCAGGTCATAGTTACAAGTGCTGATACACAGTTTCTCATTATTTAAAACCAGTTAAAAAGTTAGAAGTTAAAATGGCTCTTTATGTTAAAATTGCTTTAAAAGTTAAAAGGTTGAAGTATTATTAAAGTGGAGCAGTGTGTGTGTGTGATCCGGTGGGCACAGGAGYACACTGTTGAGGCAGCACACTAAGGTGCAGGCAGCTGCCCAACATGCTTTCTTTAGGAAGGGCTGGAGAATGTCCAGCCTCAAATCCAGGCCCCAGCCTGCTGCCAAGGCACAGGCAGAGCATGCACATCTCTCACTCCTATTGCACTCTTATCTTGGGCGCTCCTACAGCAAGCAGAGGGGACTGTATAATTTACATTTTTTTAAGGAATTTTTGGATCCCTGTGAGCTCTGGCATTTGCATCCTGTGGCAGGCAGTGCATTTCCCAGTCTCACAGAGCACTTGTGTAATTGGTACCTCTTTTTGCTTAGCATTTGTTTTTAAACTCATGGCATTTGTGCCTAAAGTTTCACCTGTGTTTAACAGTTATGTATCATTGCAATCTTTCCTGTTGTGGTTTTTTTTTCTGAGCATAGGGGTTTTACTGCTGTTTCAAACAATAAATTGTTATTTCCTGCTTCCCGTGTATGGCAATCGTGAATGTGCAACATGAGCTAAAGTTTAACTGCTGGTGCACAAAATAAATACACATTCAGCTCCAGCTTTCATGACRACAGAAACATTGCTGGGAAAGACAGAACTCCAAGTAAAATCACACTGTGCCCATAGTTACAACTTTGGTTCAACAGCTGCCAAAGAACAAGTCTCCTGAAACAGACACATTTCAGGCAGAAAGCTGCAGGGAMATCTGCTTTGTTCAGCTGGACATGTCTTCTACCAAGCAGTCACTCAGCTCAAGCAGAGTCTGGAAGCAGTAGAGCTGCACAAACTCATAGCTGGAACACAGCAATCCCTATCTATACCATTAGAAGCTTCTGCACCGTGTCCCTCTGCACACACTGCTGTAAAGGCAGTCAGGAAGTTCCCCTCACCTTCAGTACTACACCCTCAGAAATGCACTCAGTATTGCATTTCTGCACTACTGTCACCACAATRCCTGTCAGTGTTTCTGCATACTCAATAGTAACCCCAACTCCTGATCTTACTACTGGCATGGATTTTTACTGAAAACACTGGAACTGGGACCCACATTCTCACTTTTCCAGATAGTTATCTGCTAGTATTGGTTGTACTAGAATCATTTCAGTATCACAGCATTCCCCACATAAATAATTTTTCAAAATGCAAATATGGCTGGGGACAAAATTACAAATTTYCTGCTTGATATACCTTTATATGTATATATTTTTAATTTATATATACACATCTTACTAGAGGGCAAGCACTGTAGCTATGTCCCAATGCTCATGTACTGGTTCTCTAACCATGTATATTCTCAATTCTCATTTATATGCATTAAAAAAGGCCGTGTTTTCACCTAGTTTCAAATGAAAGGTCACTAACCTAAAAGGCACTGAGCCACACCCTTCTAGCAGAATAATTTCCACTGCATGCGCAGGTGATCAAAATACCAAAACCTAGCAAAAACACTCCAACAGAGTCCTGAAATTAAGTGTGCCTCTACCTTCTCCTCAATGCATTTGTTCACATGTACAATAAGTAATAGCTGCTTTGCTGGTGCACTTCATTTTGTGACGTTTTAGAGTTTCAGGAAACTCAAATACCTCTAACTTCCTTTAAAATAAGGGAAGGGGCTCAAACAAAAAGAGAAACACGATTTTTTTTAAGACACTCTTGCAAAAAGGAAATAAACTAAGAATATATTTAAAGGTAAGTAACACAACTTTATGCTTTCCCTGCAGCACAATCTCTATGTAAAGACACTTACTTTGTTCCATATTCTCTCTAAAAACCCATCAGGATAATACTAATAAATCTGTTTATGACTGGTATGCAATGAAGGTTATGGTTTGTCTGATATTTTAAAATGAAGCTGTGAGTTTGTTTCCTAGACAACAAAATGGAGGTTGTGCAGTAGATTAACTAAGGATTTAAGAATATTGCATTAAGATAGTTTATTAACATCAAGACAAAGACACATAAAAATAATCAGCTTTTACAGAAATAAAAGCATAATATAGTAATAAATCTTGCCCATTTAGCAAAAGTTATCACCGCAACTGAGGCTGCGTATTGTCTGGTCTTTCACTGAATTACCTTCAACTTTCACCTTCCCAGAGTTCTCTAACCTTTATGTTTAACACTCCACATCAAACTCCTAAATGTTTCCATTATGAAACCTTCCCTTTAGGCAGATGGATATTATCTAAATATATTCTCTTACTTTCTCAAACAACATAGCAGCAGATTTTCTTCACCAACCTTGCCAAGTCTGTACAGCTATTGTAGGTCTACTAAACTGTACTTAGGGAAAGARAATGATCTTTCTACTTAGTCTTTTCTTGTCCAGATTATACTGACAGGAAAAAATCTTCATCCTTTGAGTAAAAATGTTCACTATCCGAGGAGACGATAAACACCTTGGGTGGTGAATTACTTTTTTTTCTTTTTTTTCTTTTCATCTGCTGCCATTTTTAACTTAACTTCTTCCTCAGGAAGTGCTCCCAATTTCTTCTTCTTTGCATTCTTTACCTTCTCTTTGATGGCTTCAATATCAATCTTTTTCTCAGTGGAGGCTAGACAGTAAGAAATACAAAGGTAACAGACATGAATTTTAGTTCTTAAAAATGTTAACAGTCTACAAGAAGACTATATATACACAAAGTATACTGAATTCTGTGGCATTGGTTAAGACTCATGTTCACTTGTGATTTTATAAAATATTGTGATGATCATTTTTGTTGAAATTAGTATTAATCTAGAAATCTTATTCAGCAGAATCTGAAGAACAGTTACATAAAAAAATTCCATGCATCTGAAGAGATGCCACACCCTACARACATACAAACTATTGTCACCCATTCCTCGGAATACAGATGTACTCCTCTGAATTAATACATACATACTGTCTTAGACGAAAGCCTATTGGCTTGATTAATCTCTCATATGAAAAGAAAAATGCTGAGTGCTTATATCCAGAGAAGCTTTTACGGCATTTTTTCTTTCTGGAAGTAACTGAAGCACTAATATCCCAAACATGCCTGTCCCGTCCTTATATGCTCTCTTTGGCCATCCATTAATTGCCGCTCTCAAAAAAAGGTTGGGRAAGGGTGGGTTGAGGGAATATGATATAGATTTTTTACTCCTGCATGAAAACCTTTATTAAAAACTTCTGCAGGGAGTGCCAGAATACTGAAGTTAAACACATAGTGCTGGGCAATATGAATAACCTACACTTATGTTCACATAGGTGATGGCATTTTCTCTTTTARGCTCAAGCCATGAGTTTGGATCAAATTTTCCTATCTCACATAGTTAATTCCTAAATCTAATGGTGGGTACCAGCTGTCTTCTTTGGATTTTAGTTCTTCTCTACATACAAAACATTCTTGTCATCTATTCTTTGAAGGATTTCAGTTCAAAACACACAACAGCTAGAAAAGCATCATATTTGACAGTGCAGGCAACAACAGATCATTGGAAATTTACTACCATCACAACAAAAGAGAGTACTGAATCAATGCTGCAAAACACATGCTTTTCAAGAAACAGAAACTTTTAAATTCAAAGAAATGGTGCAATATATAATGTAACAATATGTAGGTAGTATAGCTAATACTGTATCTAGTACAATGAATATGAAGCATCACCAGTGAAAACTGTGTTTCTCTAGTGCATTAAAAATAAATCATTTGAGAACATAAGCTCTTACTCTGCACACAATGTGCTTTTACTTAAACTTTTAGCAAAGCTATTTACCCTATCTTGTACCAAAGTTGTGATGTAATTTGTTCAAGTAAGTATTGCTTTCTGTTTACAAAAGCCACTTGAATGTAAAAGTCGTGGCAGCTTCATGGTGAAAATGAAAGGCAAAAAATCGATAAATCCAGGACAACCAAATGAGATTGACTCTTCAACAGAGAACTGCCATTTTATAGGTATAGAATTATTGACTAGATGACCTTTCTATCCCTGGCAACTCTAGGCATGGATCTAACCACCAGGATTTTTTTGCATGACCTTTCTTTTTTCTAGGCTGTGTATTTGCAAAATCACTCAGCCTAGAAATTGACAAGAGATGGTTTTACAACAGGAGAAAAAGTGGTTACCTTTCTTCATTTTCACAACTGGCTTTTCCTTTGGTGGGATAAAAGCTTTATTTCTTTCTTCTTGTCTTTTCTTGATTGCATCTGCTTGCTTTGCCTAAAGWTATCAATAAAAAGGTCAAGTAGCAATAGAGCAGGGCAAAAAGGATAAAAAAAAAAGAAATCAGATTSCAAGTCAGCAGTCAAATGCTTTTTGACTGGACACCAGATTAGTAAAACTTTACCTTTATCTCTTCCATTTGCTTGCGTTTCTTCTGTCTTTCTTTCAAAAAGTATTCGCCACTTGCCAATTCTTTATCAATCTGTGTATGACAAGTAGCAAGAAGCCTTAGTTAATTCTGCATTATAAGCCAGATGTATAGTATCAAGGAATCAGAACGAGTCAGAAAAAGCCTCCCAACCTCTTTTTACAAAGAACACAATTTCAAGTTGTGCTATATTCCTGGTTGACCAAATAAAGTTTCCACTGACCTGGCTTTCTGGCTGTGGAGGTGGGAATGGTGTGTACTCCTTCTTAGTATTTTTCTTCTTGGGCTCCTTGCGCTTTTTCAAGTTCTTCCGCTTGAATTTAGGCAAAAATCTTTCCCAACTCTGTGTCCTCAGTTCAGGATCTTTTGCTAACTCCCTTTTGATCATCAAAGTCTTCAGTAGTTTCAGAATGTCACAGAGAAGTTATCAAAAAAAGAGTATTACAGTAGAAGCCAAGAGATCCAAAATAGAAATTTCATTAGACTTTTTTACAGTGCATATGCTACATCCAAAACTTACATATCTCACTTCATTAAGAGCAGAGGGGCTTAAATATGAACAGCAGAACCAGACAGATACATGTCTCACAACAACAACAGGATGCACTGGAGAAGGTACTTCAGTTTAAATGAGCAAGTATCAAGCAAACAAAGGTAAGAAAGTTTATACACACTTTTTTCCTCTGTTAATGTTGCTATGTTAATGGTGTTATGGCAATATATATTAGTAAAATGGAGGATAGCAAAGTCAGTGTTTTTTATAAAGCAGCACACTACAGAAGTTATAAAAAATAGATTGCCACACAGAAACATGTCAGTTATTAACACACAACTCTCTGGGAAGAAATAGTATTTTCTTGTAAACAGASATGCACCACACTAACCTTGATATTATAAATGGGATGTATATTCTTCATTGTGTCCAGAACAACTTTTCTAACCTGTATTGAACACAAAAACAGAAAACTCAGCAAGTATTTCATATGCCGATCAATTAGAACATCAGCTATACTATCTTGCTTCTTCTCCCTGCCTCTGCCTCCCCAAAGTATTAAGTTTTAAAATTACAGAAACACTAAGGTTGGAGAAGACATCCAGGATCATTGGTTCCAGCCTTTAAAAAGCTAAAGCACAGGTTAACTAGAGGGCACAGAAGTTCCAACAAAATTGTCATGCTTCTGATAGTCTCCAGCAGGCCCCAAAAACATTAATTTCACGTTAAAATCAATCTTA